ATAAAACTATATAGCATATACTATAAAATCGCGAGACGCGGAAAAATAATCTAGGAACTGTCATGTGTATCTAAAAGGAGCGCAAAAGAAACGAAAAAAAAAACACACGCATGTCGTTGAGACACCCATGTTTCCTTCGCAGTTACGAAATAGCGCTCGCTGACGAGTTATATAAAATGACAAAAAGCATTAGGTTTTATTCAAGCGACGTGATAATTTATGTGTTAGAAACGTTCTCTCGTTTCGTCGGTTCATTACGATACACTCGTCGGTTGAGTCTGCGTACTTGTTCGTACACACTTGCAGGCGTAATGCGAGCAAAGTTTTATACACGGGAAAAGTCATATGGTTCTCTTGGCAAGCGGAAACTCGATAAGGATTGTTCCGCGTTTGAGGATGACCGGATTCGTAGATCGAAATCTCTTGGCGCGCGGCCAAGTTGCCGAAGCTTCCTGCAATAAAGCAGTTTTCATAGTGGCAAAAGTATTTTTGGAAAGATAGGATTTAACGATAATATGTATTTCTGTACGAGAGCAATAATGCTATGTTCAATTGCTTTTGAAAAATTGGATAAACAACTATACAATCTCGATTAAAATATGTTGTTACATCACAAGCGATATCGTTCAATAAAATAATAAAAATACTAAACATTTTTTTCCAATAATGACTTTTGCACAACAAATTCGTTCGCGGCATAATAAATTAAATCGTATTCGCCGCCGGAATCTCGATCAAATACTTTTTATTACAAAAATGCTCGTATTACATTAGCTTTATTAAGACTTTGATGTGACGCACGAGTCTTTCGCATAGTGCATTGCGTATTATCAACGACCGAACGGAAATTCAGCCGGAAATCATTCGGCGCACGAGGATCGAGATTCCGTCGAACTGACTTCCTGTGATCGAAGGACGATCTCGAGCTCTCGCTTTGCGGCACGTCGACGACAACGACGACGACGTCGCGCCGATTACAAAAGCAACGTATGCGGTAAAAAAAAAAAGAAATAACGTGCGTGTGTCACGTAAAGGAGCACACGGTTACTGCGTACTGCGAGAGAGTCCGTCGCAACGCAGTTACGCGGCGAAGAAACTCGACGCTCGGGAGAGCGCGGCGCGTTGTTACGCGTTACACTTCCGTTTTCACTGCGCAAGATTCGAGGGCGTCGCACGGAGAACTGTAAACTCGCAAATCGCTACCGATAGCCGCGGTAACATAGATCCACGCAGTGAATCGATCGGCACACACGTTTCCGCAAACATAAGTCGATTACAGCACGCAATGCGATTGAACGTTTGATATCAAAAAGTGACTGTCGTAAATTGTTATTTTGTGAGATAAATCATGATCAATTAATTTTGCAAAATCTGCGATATTTTTTGCGCAGTTTAATGACATTTTCGATGTAGTTAATATTTTTCAAAATACGCCATATATAATTTTTTGCTATATTCAAGGCTGTCGCTGGAAGAATTTCATTAACAATTTGTTTTTGTATATACATAAAATTAATTTCTCTTTTAATTTTCCGAGAATTTATTTCCGGGGAGTTAATTACTTCGCGAGGTATCAACTTTTTCATTTGCAACTTTAAATATCGTGACATAAATTACGTGATCACGGCTTAAATCAAAGTGAAATTAATTAGAAGAGCTTGTTATTAATTTGCAACATACTATATTTGGTAATATTGCACGTGGCATTTATAAATATTGGTACATTTGTTATATCTATTTATCAATATTATTGGATTACACGTTGATTCTTCGAATTGCAAAAAGAGATATATGACATGATGGTTGATTTATCCCGATATCGACTGTAATTTAAACACAAATGCAAATATATACTTCGTCCTTGGATGCCACGGACGGCTGCGCGGAGGATCGGAAAGGAATCGTTTTGAAAGTTCGATCGAGGAACAGAGAAGAGGTTTTGCGGTATACTGTACAACATTCACGCCTCGAATGCAATTGAGTGTAACTGCCGCATAACTGCCTCTTTCAGAGTCTTTTGAATGTATGAGATCATCCCTACCTACGATCGCAAAAACTGAAACGTGATTCAAATTACAGACAATGAGAACACAATCTCGTTTTAACTCACTGTTGAGTATCGTTTATATTGCCGTTTAAGATCATTTAGCATTATTGCAGATTCCTTACGATACTTTCACTATTTAGTCTCTTTTTCTTTCAAGTCTGGAATTTTAATACTTACACTAAATCATAATTGTCGATCATCAAATTAACTTATCGATTTACAAGTGCAACGCAATAGAATTTTTCGTAATAATTTGTAGTAATTTACTAAAATTTAAAATTCCTCTTACTTATTTACCGAAATTTATCAGAAAATGTTGTGTATAATCTAAAAAAATAATAAAACTATTTAAACGCGCTATATTTCTTAAAGATGAAGATGTAGTAGTAGTAATAAAAACTTTTATACAAATCTTATTTGCTGTACTCTAAAATTAAGTAATTTTATCGCACGTTTAGACTTTTTTATATTTCTGCAATAAACGCATGACACCTGTTTGTTAATATCCGATCACAGAACATTCGTGCAGCATTCACAGCATCTTGTATTACGAAATGCATCATTCGTCGGCAGGAAAGTACTGATTTCGCCTACGTACCGAACACCGGAAATTATATGATCGATATAAATTACGGTCAAAGACAAGGAGACCGAGATGGAGGGGGAGAGAAAGAGAGATCGAGCCCCTTGGGCATATCAAAATATTTTTACCTGTCGAATCGTTTCCCATGAAACGAGATTGGCGAGTGTTTGAGCATTCCTTATTCCAAACGAGGTCTCTCGAAGGAACCGGAAGCGGCCGGAACGGGGAATTGATTTCAGCGAGAAATCTCGTACGGCGAAGAGTTCGTATCTCGTAACGCCGGCGCTGCGATTGCGCCGCGACGACGCTATCGGTCGACCGCTATTTCTGATAACGTTACTGCAGTTGCGCGATAGACCGTTATGACGTAACTGATGCACGACCCTGAAACGATTGCGAGGGTGCGATATATAATAATAGCCGAGATTGATCTCTCTCGCTCGACCTGGTTTCACGGTTTAGAAACAAAAAGTCTATTGAAACCCGAGTACAATCGATCATCAAATAGAAATACATAGACGGCCTGCCTAAATTATTTCTTGAGATGATTTATTTACTACTGGTTTATATAATCAGATAACTGCGCTTGGGACATTTTTAAAAATTTATCCAATATTTCTGCGATTTTAAATATAATATAGAATATTTTAAATGTACAAATCTAAGAGATTAATATCACTGGATATTTTTTAAGCTTGTTTTGCATGAGATTTATTATTGATTTTATTGTTGTTCACCAATAAGCGCAAAAACGTTTAAAGAAACTCTAATTTTTGGTTGGAACAACTCTTCGAAGAAAAAATATGTTATTATAATTTTTACTTTACAACTTTTTATATTTTTTTCTGTAATTTACTCGGAGTTTCCTCATTTCTTCTGCAATGTTATTCTTGTACTATTTTACATGGATTTGATCACATCATTTTTAGAATGAGAAAATAAATGAAAAACAGGAAATGCTATGCAATTATATTGATTCGTTGCCATCAGGGATGTGTGTCTGATGTTATCTATTAATATTAAAATTCATGCATAGTATTTTCGTTCCCTCGTGATCAGGCAAATGTGAAACGGGAATATAACGCAAGAGGGAAAGTGGAAAAAAATGGAAAAAAATCAGAAATAAAGATACGACGGTTTAATTGCAATAAATTGCTTACCTAATAAATTTTCTATAACATGTTTTATTCTTGTATTTTTTTTTTTAATGAAAAGTGAATACCTATTTTAAGAAAGAATTAAATATTATATTTCTCGCATAATATCTGCCCTAAATTAGAATCAAGCACTAAACATTCACACTTACAAATGGAATTATAATATTCAATACGAAAGAAACCTGCGATCTCAAGTTAAAATATAACATCTCGAGCATAGATGTTTGATTAGGTATATTATTTATCTGTTTCTGGTTCTGCCAATTGAAGAAAAAGAGTGCAAAATTTCAATAGTCGCTGTAAAGGAACATGTAACTAATAGCGAACCAAATGATAACCAAATAATAGGAGCCAATGTAAGTCAAGCATTAAATCGTAGTTGATGCCATAAACAGGAAAAGATCTGTGCGGCAACATTTTATATACTCGCAAAAGATTTTTAAACGAGTTAAGAGCCCGCTAATCCACTTAGTAAATGCTATAGCGTCGGGTGATTATGCATAAAGGAAAAGTTGCGAGAGTTTGCCGTTAATCCAGCGATCGATTTGAGAGGCCGATCGGCGCAGGATACTGCCACTGTTGCGCAACCGACCGCGTCTAAACAGTCACTTCGTTGGCACCGTGCACCAGTTCTCAGACCGTAGCATCGCCTTTAAAGTCGTTTAATCTTGGATCGCACGGCGCAGACGATGATCGTGCGATCGTCGACAATGTCGATGGCCCAATCGAAATTTATTCGTGATCGATCTTTTCGTTGAGGAGTATTGTCTCTCGCTTCTCCGATTAAATTTGCACTTTAATTTAATTTTAAACGCGGCGAAGCAAACAGGCAAAAATGTCGCAACGAATTCTTGCGGCCTATATTTGGAAAATTCCATTTTAAATCTCGCAAAATCAAAAAATGAGCGAGGATAAAAAATGTCTCTAAATTCTCGTCCCGGAAGCGCGACGTGACTCTTGAAGTAGTGACCCATATTCAAAATTAAAATGTAGAGAGCATAAATTTTGAAGAAACGTTATTTATCTGCATCTACTCTATCGCACAACAAAGAAAATAAGAACCGCAAAACAGGAAGTACTGTATTAACTGAAAAAAAGGTTATAACACTTTTGTCTCGTATTACTGCAGGAAATGTAATTTTACGCTTTGAAATCGTGAAGAGAAATAAGACAATGATAAATATTGCTGAAGAAAACAGACAGCGTGTAAAATAAAATAAGATATGTAACGTGCGAAGTGTACTAATAGGACAATGTCGATTAAACCGCTCGTATTTGTCAAAGATATGGTGTCAATATTGATAGAAATTCTTCGTAAATTTTCCAACGGCAATGCAGTGGGATAAATTTCGCGTCGGCATTCCGCTGTCATAACACGAAATATATCGTCTACGCGGATTGAAAACGCGAACGGTTTGTCGAAGAAATGGGTTTACGGAGTAGGAATGTCGCTACGGAACACGAGCTACACGAGCTACGCCGGCAAGGATTGCCAGAGATCGGTAGTCCGGTTGGAGCTGTAGAATCGACGGGGCGGGGTTATAAAATTGCGCGTTATTATGCACCTCTCATTATGCATCACGCGTTGTTACCTCAATTCCGTATGTGCTCTTATATTCTCGATACGTTCGCGCCTGTCTGTGTACAAACACAACACATCGAACAATGAAAGAATGTTGAGCCGTAAATAACTCGTAGCGCCGCACCGTGCGCGTGTTACTAAATAGTATCCACTTACGAATCACCGAAAGATTATCCATTATGTAATCGCTTTACTGAGATTATACGGTGGGTAATATTTTTCCCGCTGGCACACTCCACACATTCCCTTTGCTCGACAACGCTGTAAATCGCAACTTCCGCTGAATGAAATGAAAAATCATATGTTCTTGCGCATTCCTACCGTTCTCATTCAATGGTAGTTTCACTTTCGTTGAAATGATTTCATTGAGACATTTTCATCACGATCCGGTAAAAACTGGCGATGCAGACTGCAGTCTTATTAATTTAATTACGTTCGCGTTTAAACAGATTTTTGTAAAGAATTTAGAAATCAAGAATATTTTTGACATTTTGTAAAATAAAACTTCTTAAAATATTTTATCAAAGATTTTAATAAATTAACATTTTTCAAATAATTTTTATGCATGTAATTCTATTTAAATAAAAATGTGGTTTTATGATTAATAAAGATTGTTGTAATTAATGAAGCGTAATATTAACAAATATATTGTTTCTATCCGCAGAAGAGTGATGGAAAAGGGATCGTCCATCCCATGGCAAGAGACACTTCGAGAAGCCACTGGTGAGTCCAGATTGGATGGATCCGCTCTGAGGGAGTACTTCCGACCATTAGAAGATTGGTTGAGGACCGAGAATTTGAGAACGGGCGAAATCGTCGGCTGGTCATACGGTGAGTAACATCACTTGTTTGAATTTGCGCGACAATTTCTTCAATTTGAACACTCCACCTTGCGGACTTGCGACGACATCGCAGACACCTCTCTTTTTCCGTTTCGCTTTTAATCAAATGGAATTATTATAATGCCAGGTCGGATCGATTCGCGTGACGTCATAAAACCGGCATAAGTGCAACGCGGTGCCTTTCGACGTAACTTGCTACAAATTATGCAATTTCCTACCGTAACAGATTGAAGGTTGCAGTTCCCACGTGCTACTTACCGGCAAGCACTACGAATGTTCATTGTGTGACGACATTCGACTGTGAATTACGATCTGGTGTATGCGGCGAAATTATTGAGATTAACGGGCTGCACCTAACGCGGCATGCATCTTGCCAAATTCTTAACGCCAGTCGCTAGGCGGAGCATAAAAACGGTTATGTAAAAACGCAGGAATGTAACTCGGATATGTACATATAAGAGCATCGCGCTCATCCCATAAATTATGTCGCTGCGTTTCGAAAGCATAACGGAGTACTTCGAGCGGAATAAGTTATGAATTCTGTTAAATAAGGCAGGAACGTCACGCGTAATGAATTAAAGGCTACCGATATCTTTAGAAACGTGAGAGAAACGAACGGGCATTTCCTTCAAAACCAAAGAGAGACGATAGTGGAAGCAGCGCTACATACCGCGAAAGTATCGCGAGGAATTTAACTTGACCTAAAAAAAAGGGAAAAAAAAGAGACGAGGTCCACACGTAACTGCCAGGCTGATGGTTTTGCGCGAATGCGAGCGATGCAAAGAATGTGAGCGATCCAACCAGGTGTTTCTTGTCCGTCGTTAAAACACTTCTTTTTTCTTATGTGTAACGTTCGCGCCATTTCCGCGATAAAACGCGAAGGCAACACCAGGCAACGCCGTTCGAAGACCCGATTGTAAGTTCTGGCCCCGTGGGACTGGAAAATTGCGAAAGCGGTGTGTCGTGTGGAACGAGGAAAGGCCGCCGGGAGAAGAGAGCTAGGATAGGATAAGCAACGACGAGGGGCAGCGACGAAGGGTGGGGAAAGGGAAAACGAGAGTCGTGAGACACGTTCGACGACTGCACTCTCGTTTCCATCGCGCCGTTGCGCCGCTAAGATTCCTCCGATGCATCCATCCATCTGTCCGCGAAGGGAGAAGCCGGCCGGGATTTGCACACGTGTGTGCGCGCGTACACGTCGGACGCAGTCTCGAGCGTGCGCGCCCGCCGGCTCCTCTCGCGTGAGAGCGAACATCGCGTTCGCGCGGTCAATCAAGAGCCGAGCACGCGTGATCGGGCCGAGAGATCATTCGGAGCTTACGGCGCGCGTACGACGAATTATGCAATGGGACACTACCGGCCGCGCGTAGTTGATTCACTCTCGCGCTGAGTTATTTCAGGCGGCGAGTAATTATAGCAAAAAGTAATGAGATTGTTTTTTCCCAAAAGGATAAATATTTAAATTAGAACGCGCGTTAAATGGGCATTTAGGAGACCTGTTGACTGTTTTTACGCGAGATAAAATGCGAATCATGAAATGGCGAAAGGGTTTAGTCACGGTAGGCGTATTCGTCATGTCCAGCAGGTGAAAAGATACACCGTAATATTAGAGAGTCGCTTGGAATAACCAATTTGCATTGCAGAAGTTCGTTTTGCCTTATTGCAGCGGGTATTATGCAGACAACGTTAGTATCGTTAGCTTAACCTGAATTTTGAGCACTTGCGGACGCATGCAGCAGCTGTTATATAACTCGTGTGCGCATGCCTTGTCAATATTTTTAACTGGCCGACAGACGAAAATACAGACGAAATAATGCATAAATCAGCGCTTACTCTAGCAGCAATTGTTCAGTATGCCGGGCAAGGAAGAGCTTTCTTCTCAGAGATGATCCTGCTGGGAAAAGCAAATGTACGCGGCACTCATACGTAACGACGCGATAAACAGAAATCACGGAACGCTCTCGTATAATTTCACTTTCAAGTTGATCTTCGTTCTCTCTTTGCTCGTAACTTCCTCGATTATGATTTTCGCAGGCGATGTAATAGAAAACTAAAACGAAAAGTTTTAATTGAGTCTCTATTATCAAATTCTCGATCGAAAGATCGGGTTTGAATATCTTTGCAAAAATTGACAAAAATTTGCGCGCACATATAGTTTAATATTCTTTCCTCGTGTACAGCTCGTTAATAAAGAGCGCAGAATATAATTTGCTCGAAATAAAGTTTCGACTCTCTTGTGACTCATGATGTATGAAAGCAATTATGATTTGCTATGCGCACAATAAAGGATTGCTTGGGAATCATTAAAAGATGGATCACTCTTGCGCGCGTCGAGCGATCGATGTTCCCATGCACCAGCAATTATCTTATCGTAATTCACTCGGCGAGATCGGTATTATTAAATTTTTCCGGCAATACTTAATCATAGAAGCGATCGCTAATTTCTCAAACGCCGCCGTGACATTTATAAAAAGCTAATACGCCGATACGTCATGCGATCTGAATGAAGTAATGTGTATTGTGCGCGATGCCGGATAACGAGTGTTGCTATTAAGTAGCATTACGTTTCCATTTCGTGCCCTCCATCGCGCAGCCATGGGTGAAATTAAATCGTACGCGTAAGAAACCGCTGGGATCCGGTGAGATTTGAGATCGGCGCGGACCCGCTCGATACGCGAACGAGCCGAGCGGAACGACGATACGTGATTCAGGTGGTGCCGACGAATTTGACGAGTATCCGCAAAACCGGAGTCACGAAAGGAAAGGGAGACCGTTGCGGTTCCCTTTACTAGCCGCCAGACCCTCTTTTTGTTCCTGTCGATCTCGATTACGGGATTTTAGAGCGGCTGGTCTCCCTCCAACGAACGATCGTTCGATCTTTATAGCACGATCTCTTCGAAAGAGTATCACGATTGGCGTTTAAATATTGTTTTCTTTTGTATTCGTTGCCAATTGTTAAAGAGAGGGCTTTGATCGATCAATCGTTCGCGCAAGATGTCTGTTGTTTATCGGGAATTACCTTCAATGATTAATAAATCTGTTAACGTAATTCAATATCAATCTGTTTGCAGATGGGGACTTTTGCAAAAGAAGCATCGAGACTGCGGGTCTGCAGGTTTACGGCAGTGGCTTCTACAACAGCGGCACGTCGATATATGCATCTTGGATCACGACAGGAATAATGACGACTCTTTGGCTTGTGTCGATGCATTATTGAGCGGGACGACTCGACAAATAGTCGATACATCGTCGAGTATTGATATAATAAATTTAAGAAAAATTCATTTCCATTAATCTGCCAGAATATGTCAAGTTATAATTATTATTGCCGTTCAAATCTTGAAGAAACAAAATAATTAAATCATCCATCTAACTTCGGTTGATAGTCAAACAATTATTATTACTGCCAACAAGCACGCTAAAGTGCACTCTTGAATAACTGCATATTTTTCGTAATGTAAAAAGGTACGTATATAAATATATATATATATATAGAACGAATATTATATAATATATACGCACTATTGATGTACGAAATACTATACGTAGAGACATGTTGTTACAACTAAGAATATAAATCGTGTGCGTGCTGTGTATGTGTCGTGCGAGTGTAAGTGCATAAATCATTTTATACACTTGAACAGCTCATAATTCACACACAATGTAATTATTAACTTCACTGTTGGTAAATGAAATAAAATTCTGCCTTTGTTGTAAAACGCGTCTAGATTTTCTCCGAACTGCTCATTGTTCATATTATGATATTGTTCCTCTGAATAATTTTATTTTTCTAATCCTTTGACACAAATGCTCCAATTCTTTTAATAGGATTGCAAAATCAAGACTTTAATACCCAGCACACAATACAATGTTACCGTTTTTAATAGGGCCGTCGGGTTGATTTTTTTATATCGAACTAATACACAAAGAGAACTCGTTAACCGGAACCTTTGCTTTCGCGCGCACGTCGAGTGGAAGGGGAATTTTATACGATAGAAGGAAGATCCTCAATGGAACGCACCAAAGTTGTTTTGACGACAAAAGCCACACTGGTCGGCTCCCTTACGCTCTTGCGTAATTGAAAGCTGGCGAAATCGTACGAGGTGAAATCGCGCTTTTGCTGTCAAATTACCGGCAAACTCAATCGGATCGTTTTATCCCTCGCCACTTTATTGCATCTTTTACCGTCGCCATTAGACTGCTCGCATTCCCTTTAACGATCATTATTAGCGTATCATATTACTTCCATTTGCATCGACATGAGATGCCATCAATGCGAGTAAAGATTTCTCAGCAATTTCGCTTCAATTGATATGAATAGCATTCAACATGTGAAATTACACGTTAATTCATTATCGCATTCTTAACTTGTAAATTGCTACAGCGAGTGATATATGCAGGTACTATAATTTTTAATATTACTGATTATTAAAATCGTATCTATCAAGCGTAAAAATTTTAGTAATAAATACTAAAAACATATTTGACTACTATTGACATAATTAACACGTATATTCAAATTCATACAAATTCAAATATATAATGCAACACAATAAATAAATATTCAATGGCTTTGCAAAGACAATGGACGTTTATACTCCCGGCGATCGTGAATATAAAATTAAGCGCGCGAATATTAATCATCGAATAAGAAATCGTGCAACAATTTTCACGTCGCCCCTGTTAAGCCTTTTTGTTTCACGGCTCTCATCTGATTTTTCATTGCAGTCGACGCGTAGGACGACAGCTTTCACGAGCTGTGACAAGAGAAGCTATTATTGTTTGCGAAGGCACGTCACTGAAACGGTAATTGCACAAAGGTGGTCTCTGTCCAGAAACTGGTCCGCCCGGTTTGCGTAACGAGAAGACGCGGAAATCGGCCGACGGCCGGGAAAAGAAATGCTTGCATCATATCGAACGTGCAACATGGCATTTCATCGCGCGCGACCGGAAATATTTTTGATCTTATCACTTCTCGGCGACGTAACGCATACCGTCTGACGCATGTACTTACCGTGACGACGAAAGCGGAATATATTTGGTTTTAATATCAACGGAATATAGCCATAAAGTTGGCAATGTGTTTTTTTCATAAACTACATCTTTATCTTACATGAATTAACATTTTCCCAATTTTACTTTTCTAAATTCAGAATTTATATAAATTCTATAAATAGATTAGAAAATAAATTATATAAATTTATATAAATTTATATAAATAAAGCATAACACGTCATTATCATACACATCTTTTGTTTTATAAGTAAGCAAAAAAATGCTTTTTTTTCTCTTTTTTCTTCATATTTCTATATTTTATTGAATATAATTAATATTTTATTATAATGAAATTTTATGTTTATTTTGTGTATTTTATCAAATTTAGGATATTAGCGGATAACTGATGATATTTTTATTGAAAAATCTCTCGTCTATTAAACTGTAACAGCTGCCAATCTTCGTAATAAGAGATTTTGATAAGAACAGATTTCCGCTAGATTTTCACGGTAGCCGATTAACTTTTCAAATTAACGATACAGCGTGCGATAATTCCTTCCTTGCATAATCGAGAAATAACTTGCGCCGAGAGCTATTCCGTTTCCTGTCGAGAGGGAGATATTGCGATTCCATTAGCCACAACGACGCATATCGATCCGCAATTTTAATTCGCTCCCGTCTTAAATACAGAAATCGACGATAATCACAAAAAGACGATAATAGAAATCGTAGAATTTAACTACCCAAATTGATTTATCTTGTTATAAAATCGCAAACCGTTTCGCAATCGTCGTGATGTTATCTCAAGTTTCTGTCCTGAAACCGTCTTGAAATTCTTACTTAATCTCGGTGAGATATTACTTCACAAAGTACACCAAATGTTACTTCGTTTACATTTAAAGAAGTGATTCGTATTCAACTCGATTCGCATATCCGTCAGTATTAATCTGAAAATAAGAAATCGAGTTGATTGTCAGGAATACGTAACACCACTTAATACGCATAGGCGCCAGATTTACGAAAATATATATAATTATGCGCATAATTTTATTCATACTGCGCCGTTTCGTCAACCGACAACTCACAGTCTGATATTGTACAAAAAAAAAATTTTAATAAATATTAAATTAATATTAACTATAAACGGAGAATAGTAATTCGTGCCAACTGTCACAATTCGTATTTTTAGATACTAAATTATTAATAATTTTTTAAATTTCAATCATTAAGCAGAACATTACACATTGTTGGGTAACTATATTTTCTTTTTGTTTCTTTTTTTTTTTTGTACAACATTCTTTACTTTCGTAACAGAATGAGCGATGAAGTTCGCAATATTAGTAACAGGTGAAGGATAACATTACTGTAAGAGATTTCTCTCCTGCTGATAATACCAGGATTGGGCAATATGAACAACATTGACGGGAGTAGCTTCTGGGGACCCGATCATAAATCGTTCGAGACGGAAACCGGTCCGCAGACGGATACACTGACGGATGGTCGACGCCCATGGAACGAACGGCTTGGCGATCTGCCCCAAAACTGGTCCGACCGGTTGCATAATCGGAAGACCGGGAAGTCGTGCCTTTCCGCGAAACGTCTGCGAGGCGCACAATGAGAGCCGACTGGCTGGACGCCACTCTCGTCCACTTTCACCGTCGGTCGTTCGCGCGCGCACAATTTTACATGGGTTTTAGCCGGCCGCGGCCGCGACCACCGGGCACACCGGCCACGATCAGGCCAAAATGCGGCGAGGAGAGGAGGAGAGCGAGAGAGGGAAAAGAGGCGCGCAATTTCGCCGGCCGGAATCGGATGTAATCGGTTTTAATTAAAGCCCCGTGGAACGAAGGAGAACTCACGACTCGACCCTTCGTACCCGACGAAATCATCCGTTTCGAAATTGTGCGTGAAAGTGATCCTGAAAGTAGATCAACACCCCTCCCACGGCCGGCATTGATACAGGTGCATGTTTTATAGATCGCAAAAAATGGATGTTTCGTATTCGCAAACACGAGTTGAGAAACTCGCAGCGAATCGGAATAGATGCCTGAGGAATCAATTACGTTACGTATCGTCGAGAATACCAGAATTATACATGCAATAAGTTCGCAAGATAGATGACACGAGATGGACCCGTATCGAAAGAGATCGATCATGCGTATCCAAAAGGCGCGCGCGCGCGCGTGCGACGCGATATCGTCGTTTCGAAATTATTATTCGTGAAAGTGATGAAGTTCAATGAGATTAAATGATAAGCATACATTAAAAGCATACTAGCTCTCATCTAACAGTCGAGCGTTAGCATAAACATCAGCTAATTAATTTGATCAAAATTAATTTGACGTGTCATCTAAATTACAACCTTGTCTTTCGACTTTCTGCCGTATATTTGGCCATCACTTTTTGCCATTTATTGCTCTATTCTCGTAGACTGTAGAATACAGTAATAAAAGTCAATGAAAAATATAATTTATTTGAAAAATAAATGGAATTTTAAGAAAGACATAAATGACATCTGATTGAGATCTCGAAAGCTCATTTATTCAAATTATACGTAAAATTATTTCACATGTTAGCACACATTCTGTTTTATTTAATTCTCTATACAAATACGATAAATATTTCGTTTACATTTATATAAATATTAAGCACAATATCGCGTATCACACAATGTGTAGATCAGATCAGCACGAAAAGATTCTGAGGTTGCAAACGTCGCGTTTATTTTTGTCCGGTCAGTTCCACTTGAGAAAACGTCCTATTACGTCCAGTTAACGGTATGACAGCGAAAAGTACGGAGAAATAATGAAGGTTTTCTGCCTTTTGAAAGGTGCGCTTTTGAGAAACGAGCCGCGCCGAGATCGTTATGGTGATCGAAAGACTATTACAATCCAGTCTGCGAAATAAATCTCGGGGTCAACGATATCCCGGAATAATATCTGGCATTACTCGGCTGGTAATGAGGGTAATTATGATTAGTGTTGTTCCAGAGAAACAATGCTCGGCCTTATGCAATGCGCGAGACGTAGAGCGGCACCAATGTCACTGCCTCGTGCGATTAGGTCGCCGATTTATGCAACGAGCGGCTGATATGATGCAGAAAGCGTGCCAATCGTTTGATCAATTTAATTTGAACTATTACTTTCCTTTAATTAAAATCAAATTCAAACTTCTTTTTCACATACTTATATCTTGACTTCTTTCTTATGTAAAATTTTCTATAAAATAAGACGAGTTGTTATAAAAATAATAACATTGTTTAAATTATGAATTCCAATAAGAAATTTAGAGTAAAAGAAATTAAAATAAATGACAAATTTATAATTTTATATCCTCCTTAATCCTGTTAAATATGTTTATGAGCCGTTGTGATTTACTAAACTTGTATTTCTTCTTTTTAACAGCTTATTACGAAAAAATTCCCGCTTCATGTTTTACTAAGACAAAGATGGTTGGACAAGAAGAAAGTTGCACTTAATATATTCGAATTACAAAAGTATGAGATTACGTTATTTACTGTCGAAAATGCAGCTTTCGAAAACACTTTCACGAGAAATGAATTTTGTTCTCGCTTAAAGATTTATGACAATGCTGCATAAAAATACTGTATTTTATAATAGTTACTACGACAGATTCTCTAGTATATTTATTCGATATATTAATCTCATCGTTCGTCTTGAAACGAGTACATCGAATCACACTTTTATTTTAAGAACTTTCTTTGTACAAATCTATACTGTGCAAAATTATCTTTTCCCAATTTCTTAATTTACTCCCGATTCTTATTTTTATCACGCTCGCTGTAAACTGACAAATTAACAAAAGCGCAATATAAGGCGTAGATGCTGAAAATAAAGTTACTTCTATCTTTGACGCTCTTAAACAGCGCAAACGCCAGCCGAATCGGCCGAATCTACGGAATGGAATCTTCTGCGTTTTATCGTTGAGGCAATACTCGTTCGAACTATGCGTTTTATTGCCGATGACGAAATTTGATGACTCGTCGAAAACAAGTGTCATTGCGCCGCAGGAGACGTCTGTGGCATGATTTCCCACTTTCGCGTTGTTACCATTCTCCGTTACTCTCTGACACTGTTCTCCTATGTTAGCGCGTTTGATGAGCATGGAAAATTTCTGCAACTCGGCCACTTTCTATTTCCTGTGTCCAAATCGCATATCTCGTAACGCACGACGCATGAATTGAACGTTTCCTCGATCAATGTTCAGCCGGGTAGGATTGAACAACGCGACATATTAGCGTAATCGTTATGCAACGTCGCGTTGTTCTACGCCGTTCTACCTTCGATCGATTCGCAATCGAAATCTCGCAGGGGCGGTTCCCGATGCGGATGCAGAATTGCGTAAATCCGTCGACGCCGGTGTCGAAGTCTCTCTTCCCAGGCAATAATCTCATCGATTGTGTATTATTTGCAAAAGGAATCATCGATATCTACTTTTTCCGAGGTACACGTCCGCGAAATCGAGTGAAGGAAGATTTTCTCCTAATTATCCTCTTGAACAATCATCGATTACGATAATTGCCGTATTGTCGCAGTTGGCGCGAAATGTCCAAATATAGTTTCAAAGGCGAAAAATCAGGCATGAGAAACGAGTAGAATTTACAACGGCCGCTCCTCTTCGGGAGCGCGGTTCAGATGCAAGGACAAAGAGAAGTTAAGCCACGCTAAATGTCACGGGCGGGTCCGCAGTTCTCTCAGCCCCGTATTCTTTCCTCGATTGCCCGATGCCGGGCAAAATCGCCGTGCTTAATTATAACATCGTGCAAAGAGGCTCGACAATCTCGCTCGCCAATAACAACCGATCGATAAAACGAGTGCTCGGCGATATGCATAATTGCCCCCGCTGGTCACGCACTCGTTAGCGCGATCGAATGCTATAACTTAGGAGAGCCATAAGTAATCAGCACGATTGAGTGCGCGAATTGCCACATTTATCCGGATTCATTTAATGAAGTCAGAAGCTTGTAAAAATTCTGATTTATTTATTTATCGCGGGAGAGCTTAAGCTCGCAACATGGCGCGGAGTCTGCGTTTACAATCGATTTCGTGTGTACGAATACATGGTAATAATTCATACGGCCATCGCGTATCTCAGCCTTGACGCGTTTTCACAAACTGGAAATATTTCAAACGCAGGTGGCTGATTCTCCGCGTATTATTGAGCAATGCCGCTCCGCGTGATTTCACACAAAATTGCGAAATGAATTAATCAGCATGCCGCCGGTGCGCGCGACACCGAGCCGGCTCTACCATCATTAAAATCGTTCATATTAATTAGCTTTGGTTGGTTACGATCCAGCGAGAATTTAGTCACCGATTTTACACAAGTCCCACTGGAAAAACACTTGACGCTTTGCGACGCTACATAAATACTATTTATGCTGCCGGAAATAACGAAAATCTCCTTTAAATATCTCGCCGAGCAACACGAGTCGTTGCGCATAAAAACGCAGTTTAAAAAAATTTACAAAAATTCATCATTAATTCCTTCAGATAAGCGGTAAAAGCGTTTGATTTAGATGTTACGTAGGAACCTGCACCGATAAGGAAGTGCGTAATTCTCTGTATTGCGCGAAAAAGAACAGATTACGATCGACGGTCGAAGCAATTATCCGAAGAAAAATGTTTCCTTTAAAAAGTAACTCTTATCGCGTATTATGCACATAATGTAATTAAGCAGTTTTACGTAATTATTCACCACTCGCTTCAGTCTTTCATGTGAGCAGTAATTAAATTTAATAAAATCTATTATAAAATTAATTACTTTAATTTAACGTAAAAATAATTTTTGATATTTAATAATAATTAATAATTATATAAAAAGTTTTTTCAACAATAAAATTAAGTATAAAATACGACACATGTTACATTAATATAATTTTTTTTAATTCTATAATATAATTACGTAAATATAGTATGTTTCTTAACTCTCTCTCGTGAATACAAATGTTTCTTAAAAATTTTTCTAATATTTGGAAATCCATCAATAATTTCAAATTTTATTCATATTGTTCGGTAAGATATTTGTATACTTCTTTTCGTTTTTCGAATGTTGGTAGGAGTGCATCGTGCAGATGAACGATATGTAATTCGGACACAGAACTTACGTCGCGCACTCACACGCAGATATTGCGTCTTGCGATTGCAAAACGTTTGTTTAGCTGGCTGCACTTGCACGATAGAGCGCACAGGGCCTACATACTGCGTCATCGAGACGCGATTGGTACACGGACGGATATTTAAAAACACTTAATAATGAAAAAGTCGGAGGTAAAGTAACATATTTCGTACAGTAAAAGAATTATTTGACATTTCTCGAAACTCGCGTCTATAAACAGCGGTATTTCTTCTTTATAAATAGAATCTGGTGTCTTAAATGCGCATTGTGAAAGAAATACATTATTACTCTTTTCATTTAAATAAAATCTAATGATTGTATGCGTATCGACCGTATTAATGAACACGATCACGCTGGGACTAGATTAGGTTTAATTCCGAGTAATGACTAATTTGAGCGAAATACAGGGACGGCACCGGCCGCAGGGGGCGTGCCTCTGTAATTGCTAATTACTCTATTTAGTGGGATGTTGTGTAGCATTGCGGGATTAAGCGGTCGATGCTTCGAACGATCCAACCGTAGTCCGATCTATTGCGTGCTTGCGAGAACAAGAGGGAACACAGTGAATTGGCCTACCAATCATCTCATTACACGAGTCTGCCTGCTCTCGACTGTTCCGACAGACAACTCTAAACTCCGGCTTTCGCCTATCTATTCCAATTCCTTTTTAACGTGAGACCAGTTGCATCTGCATCCGACGCGTCAAGCTGTAAGCGAGAGAATAGACTATAAAGCTAATTCAGCTGCAAGATGGATCGTAATGTTAATTTGATAGCCTGCGAGTAGTGCGAACGTACGTGCAATCCAAATAGATAATTATGTTGAATATATCACAAATTGCGAATGACGCAAGATTTAACTTATTTTGATTTTGTGCAATTAGAAGCCATGTCTCGTTGCGTTTCATCACGTTACGTGAGCAACGCGAATTCTCCTCCATTGCGTTTGTCGTCCGATCGATTTATCGTTGCCGTCACGCTACAATGCGTGATCGAAAAAAAAAAATGCCACATCCGTCCGTGAGAGATCGAAAGCTTTTTTTTTTTTTGCTAACTCGGATGGAATGTAACAGAGGTCGGTTTCTGCAACAGCATACTTTTTCAAGAACACCGCTCGATCGTTTCATCATTTACATACGTCGATTCGCATACCTATGCTCGCGCAACGTCGCGCCGATTGTTAATCAATCGATTACACTTCTTCGAAATACCGAATCTCGCATCTTCCGTTGTTGTTGTCACGCTGCGCCGGCAACTCGCAATGGCACTTCACCGGTCGCAATGTCAATGTCTCCGCAGGATATCCTCGTTGTTTTGCGAGATCGAAGTACCGGCGTGATGGTACCATGCCGACTCTCTCTCTCTCTCTCT